TACTGACCGTGGACTGTTCTCTGTGAGCTGACCATGGAATGTTCTCTGTGAGCTGCTGACCGTGGAGTGTTCTCTGTGAGCTGACCATGGAATGTTCTCTGTGAGCTGAGCGTGGAGAGGGGCTGTGCTGCACACACGCAGGTGTCCCCAGGATGAATTACGGCAGTCAAGAGCATGATTTTTTCCTGTCAAACTGCCTTTGGGGGGCTGGGAAGGTGGCTCAGTGGTAGAGTGCTTGCCTTGCATGCTTGAGGCCCTGGGTTCAATTCCTCAGTACCACATAAGCAAAAAGAAAAAAGCCGGAAGTGGTGCTGTGGCTCAAGTGGTAGAGCGCTAGCCTTGAGCTGAAGAGCTGAGGGACAGCACTCAGGCCCAGAGTTCAGGCCCCACAACTGACCAAAAAGAACAAAACAACCCCTGCCTTTGGTCTTGAATCTGAGCCTCATGGCTTCAGCCATGCTTACCCCTTAAAATCCAAAAGTCTCATGTGCAAAATAAGAACTCTAAGCAATCCCTACCTGAAAGAGCTGTGGAGAGGGCAGATTTAGACAGTGTCTATAACACAGCTAACCACAAGGCCTGGAAAAGAGTGAGAATTCAGTAAGAGGTATTTTATTCATGATACTGAAATGATTACAAGAAATGTGAACGCGACCAGGTCACATGAGCTCTGGCATTGTTACCCCACGAGCAAAGAACCCGCAGGGCAGCGCGTAGACAGAGCCAAGCGCGGCCCAGACTCTGAGCCAAGCGCGGCCCAGATGCTGAGCCAAGCGCGGCCCAGACGCTGCTGGGCAGCAGCGCGTAGACAGAGCCAAGCGCGGCCCAGACACTGAGCCAAGCGCGGCCCAGGCGCTTCCGGGCAGCAAACACATCACACATGCCAGTAGAACCACAGAGCACAAGCGGGGAAGGACTGGCAGGAAAAAAGAAGAGCGGTGAAAACTCAAGGAAGGCAGAGAAAACAGCAAGGGAGAAGGGGTCAGAAAGGGGGAGTCAGGGCAGCCAAGAAGAGGAGCGCTTGAGAGTGCACAGAGACCACCGCGGCTGCGCTCGCACACACAGCCGCCCACAGCTGTGTCCTCTTCCTGTGACCGCAGACGGAATCATCTCCATAGAGAGAGCATGCAACACTCAACTGCATCGTCCCAGGGCAGAAGATGAGGCAAAAGACCCTGCGGGAAAGAAGAACAGGACGAGGTAGGGCCGGGTGGCTCAGCATCTTGGGCCGTGCAGAGCTGCTGAGGATCCGTGATCGTAAGCCAAGAGGGACTTTTCCTCTTGAAGCATCCCCACCCAGAGCGCTGATAGCTCAAATCGGGGCAGGTAGGAAAGCAGAAAGCTTGGCCCATCCTCCCTCTATGAAGGGGTTAGCTAGTATGAAGACAGATCAAGAAAAACACCAACATTCCAACCAGTAGTACATTCTGAGGCCTTCTACTTGTGTCCCTGTAAATATCAGGATTGTTATCACCTACTTTATTAATACCCTCTGAGAGTCAAGAACACAGGAAATACAACATGATCTCTTAAAACAGGGAAAGTACCCAGGAGGTTTAAGAACAAATGTGATTTTGATCAAGGCTAGGATCCTTTGAGCAAGTTCTAAGTAGACAATTACTAAATCACAATTGGTAACTATTCTTGAAAGAATTGCCAAGAAGACAAAAAGAAGAGATGTAGCCTGTTCATGGAGATAAAAAAGCAATTCCATAGAGTAAAAGAAAAGTTAGCCCTCATAACATCCAGTAGACAAACATCCCACAGATACATTCTCCGCTAGCAGGAGCATCTGATCGTTGACATTCCCGACCGTTTCTAAACGAGAGAAGCAGCTGTAGAAATGGAAGCTTCTTTATGCCCAAAGTTACTTGGCAACTAAGTTAGCTGAGTCAAAGTAGAAGTCTTATCTTTTGACTTCTCATTCCTTCCATTTTCTTCCTAATTCCATAGACATGAGTACGAGATTAATTATAAGGAAAGGCTGTAACAGGACCGAAGCACTTGCCAGGTGGGAGTGGGGAGTTCGGTTGGGCGGAGCAAGGGTGGGGGAAGGAGCTCAGCCTGGGAGGAGCAGGCCGAGGGGCCACAGAAAGCCTGGACATCGTGGGCAGAGCCAGCGCTCACAGAACAAAGGCAAAACCCCTAAAACGGATGCCAGGGACCGCTGCGTCCACGGGAAATACGGACAGAAAGAAGTTCTGGTCCTTACAAAAGTAAACATAGCCAAGCGTCGGTGGCTCACACCTGTCCACCTGGCTACCCAGGAGGCTGAGATCTGAGGATCGCAGTTCAAAGCCAGCCCCGGCAAAAAAAAAGGCCAAGAGACTCCTATCTCCAGTGAGCCACAAAATGCTGCATGTGGAGCTGTGGCTCGACGTGGTAGAACTCCAGCCCCGGGCACACAGGCTCAGGGCAGTGCCCTGAGGTCAAGCCCCAGGATAGGCAAAAAATAATGGTACATATTTTCTTAAATATTAGCTGTAGTCATAAACATTCACTCTTCCAGATCTTACTAATTAAGTACATGTAAACTTGTAAAACTAGTCGATAGCAGAAAGCCAATAATGCATACCACACATACTGCATCTTCTGAGTCATCAGGAAAGTTATCACAGAATATCTTGCTCAGAGCAAATTCAACAGTGATGTCACTAGACACTGTGTGGAAAATGAACCAGGTATCTCGTGGGTGGGGGTGGGAGGGAAAGACTGGGAGAGAGTAAGGGAAGGGGAGACATGGAGGGAAAGACTGGAAGAGAGTGAGGGAAGGGGAGACGTGGTTCGAAAGGAATTGTACGGATGGCATCTGATTCGTGTTACCGGGACCCCTCTATATATCAACTACACAAAAACAATCATAGAAAAATAATGAAAAGAAAACAAATAAAGAATAGGCTATGGTGAGGGTCCCCAGCAGACCTTCCTTCCTAAGTATCTAGCCTGGGGCCAAGGCTATGTGAGTTCCTGGCAGCCCTGGAGCTTGATTGCTATATGCACATGTTTCCTTAGCCTTCTTCGTTAGCTTCTTTCCATAACGTTGGAAAAGAGGGGTAGAAATACAGAGACAAACACGGAAGAGAAAAATAGAAAGCAAGCAGATGTTTTAAAACTGCGGGTGTAGTGGAGACCGCTGAGCGCAGGGATACAGCCAACTTCTCAACAGTTCTAGAGATAAGCAGAGCGGCGCAGCCCAGATCCCCGGGCTGACGTAAAATAGCCCAGGAAGTATATCCGATGTGTTATATCCTCTACTTCAAATTACTGGAGAACATTTGGCAAGCTTCTGTTTATCGCTGTGTGCTGGTGGACGTGTTTCACGGCGCCTCACCGCTCGCTGTGTTCACAGCCCTTGCTCCGCCACTTGAGCCAGCCATCTTCTACTCCTCTCTTTTTGCTAGTTATCTGAAAGTAAGAGTCTCGTGGATTTTATTTTTTTTGGCCTAGGCTGGCTTCAAGCCTTTGCTCTTCAGATCTCAGCTCTCTGAGTAGCCAAGGTTGTAGACATGAAGCTACCACTACTGGCTCTTGTTATTTATTCAACACAGAAACTTCCAACTTATCTGAAAATCTGACATAAAAATCACACTTGCTCTCAATGTCATATACATAATATGCTAGATCACAAGAAAGTGGACATTTATCTAAATATAAGGTTATCTTCTGCCCGCAAAGCCTCAGTATTGCCTGATTATAGGTCCTTCTAGTTTTAATCATCAATGTGAAACCTTATGTGTATGTTGGAATTTCTAGACAGAGGTTATTGTGGGGTCTTGATTTTAGATTTTTGGTAAGACTTCTTTCTTGTTATTGTTGTTTGGTTTTTTTTAATGCCAGTCCTGGGGCTTGAACTCACAGCCTGGGTGCTGTCCCTGAGCTTCTTTTTGCTCAAGGCTAGCATCTACCACTTGAGCCATAGCTGCACTTTCGGCTTTTCTTGGGTAGTTTATTAGCGATAAGAGGCTCAAGGACTTTCCTCCCCAGGCTGGCTTTGAACTGCAATCCTCAGATTCAGCCTACTCAGTAGCTAGGATTACAGGAGTGAGCCACCAGTGCCCGGCTAGGGATTATTGTTTTACACATGGTACAACAGCTTCCTCATGCTGTTTGACTTAAAACTGCATTTAATTCAGCTCTGTTTTGTCCTTTTGAAGCCAGCAGCATGGTACAGGTGTCTGTGGCCTGGTACTGAGTAGATTTCTTTGCTTACAAAGAACAGGTTTCCTACGATAAACTGCACTTTACCCTGAGAGTGTACGGTGATAAATCAGCCCACGGTGAGTTACCTCGCGCTGCCAGTGACTCCCTGATGAGATTTTTCACAGCATCCTGTCTCCAGGATGCTTCTCTGAGGGCTATTTCTATGAAGTATGTGTGGAAGCCCGGAAGGCAGCAGGCAGCAGAGCGGGGAGAGAGTCCCAGCGTAAATGCAGCGTTCCTCGGCCATCTTCACATCCCCGTGTTCACAAGCTGACTTTTTTAGCTCCCCCCAGATAGGAGAGGTGCTGTAGCACTGCCGGCCCCGGCCCGTCCACCTGTGGAGAGACTTGGCCTCCCGGAGGTGACAGATCCACCACCCCCTCCTGGTGCTTTCTGACAATATCACACACAGGTCCACAGCCAGCAAATGGGAGGCAGTGTCTTTTCCAATGACATGAGTTTATTGCAAGTGTCTGATTGATATAAACACCGTGTTTATATTCATTCTTACAGAGGTGCCTCCTGCTTCAAGAGCAATGGCGGGGAAGGAGAGTCGGACGCGTTTAGAGGATGAAAAGGATAAATAAGGTTAATGGCTACGTAAAACATGTTTTAAATATCCCTGAGTGGAGGTGGGGGCGGAGTTTCCTTCTGGCCGCATCCCGCGTGGCTGAGAGGAAGGAGCTCCTCCACCACAGGGAGACTCGGTGCCCTGCCCGGCCCTGCCCAGCCCAGCCCGGCCCGGCCCGGCCCCGCCGTCCCACCGGGGCTGCCCGGAGGCCCGCAGACAGGACGGGTCCTCACGGGGCACAGTACCGGTCGGAGCGCAGCTGGATGAGGAACAGTTTGCCGCCGTTCATCTGGAGCTGTTCGCAGGCGCCGTCCTGGCTCGTCACGCCCAGGTGCACGGCGTCCTTGTAGCCCATGTGCACCACCGTGGTGAAGTCGGCCCTCCTCTCCCTGCGGAGGGCCGGGATCGGGGCCGAGCTGTTCCGGTAGTGGATGTCGATGCTGACGTTGTGGAAGAAGAAGCCCTTCAGGGAGATGAGGTACAGCCCGTCACACTTGATCACCACCGCGTTGCTCTGCACCTGCATGACGCCATTCTCGTTGGCCATGGGGGAGAGGGAGAGTCTGTCCTTCTCACAGCCTAGAAAGGGTGGGATAAGAAGTTTTACACACGCGCGCATGCGTGCGCGGGCACCACACACACGCACACACACACAAAGCATACCAAGGGGCAACACCTTCCAGTATCTCTAGAACTGGGCGCGGAGAATGGTAGGGAGAGAGCTTTTGAAGAGTGAAGGCCAGAGCACGCCTCATGTCTAGCTATGGGCTAGCCAATACTTTCGTCCAGCGGCAGGTCTGATGGGAGTCCAGAGCTGAACGATTACAGCCGTTGTTAGCCGAGATCTATGGCAGGACAAGTAGCTTCTCAGTTTCCCTGAGTTCTCCTTAGTTTCAGAAGCCGGAGGCACCGGCCACTCTGGTGATTCCTGTCACGATCAGTGGATGGACTGCTCCGAAGGGCGGCCCTGGCTCTGCCCATCACCTACAAGCCCAACTCAAAGCTTTGCTTTAATTGTCTCCTAGCCCCACTAGGAGAAGGAGGAGAGGAGAGGAGAAGAAAGAAGAAGAGGAGGAAGAGCAGGCGCAGTTGGGTACCAGGCACTCCAAGTGCAGGCCCCAAAGCCTCGATTTCTTTCTAAATCAGCCTGACTATCATCCTGAATAGCCCAGCCTCTGTATCTTAACGTTCTACTCTGTCTCACATCCCCTGGTGATGGGAAAGAACAGACACCAGCTGCTGGCCACAGTTCAGTGGTTCTTGCTTTGTACCAAGCCCAGAGGGCATATTTCAAACTGAAAGCAAACACCACGGATAGAAAACAAAATGTACTTTCCTTCAGGCTCAGAAAATATAACACGTGCATGAATATTCATAGGGAAACCACTGGTGGGTGGGCGGCTATAATGAGAGACTCAAAAGATGCTTCCCTGATAGTCCAAGTACCTTTTCCTTCCCTTCTAGGCTTCCTTGATTCTCATTCAGGTAAGGTCTCACCCAGCATAAAACCAGCCAACAATGTGTGCTACAGTCTTATGGATTTGTAAAAATACATAAATAAAGCTTAGTCTCCTTGGATGAGAACATAAACATCATCCCTGCTCAAAGAGCTCCTGGAGCTTGAAGGGAGGTCCGCAAAGGACAGCTAGAATATAATGCCGCCCCATGTGCTATCAAATGATATTAAAACACTACAGCAAGGGCTGGGATGTAGCTCAGTGGCAAAAGTGCTTGCCTAGCAAGCGCAATGTCCTGGGTTCGATCCCCAGTACCGAAAAAGAAAAAGACAAAAAAAATACAGTTAAAACACTACAGCAATGGTCCTTCTAGACGATTCATGAACCAGGCCCAGCAGCCTGGCTCACATCTGTAAGCCTAGCTGCTAAGAAGCCTGAGTGAAGACCCTATTTAAAGCCAGCCCAGGCAGACAAAACTATGAAGCTCTTATCTGTAACTAGCTGGCAAAAGGCTGGGACCGAAGGAGTGGCTCTGGCGGTAGTGTTCCAACCTTGAGCAAGCAGAGCAGGGGCCCAAGTTCAAGCCCTGGTACAAGCACTGAAAAGTATCAAACTAATTAAACTTTGACAACACTTACCGAGAACGTCGGCACTAATACTTTGAAGTGGAGGAGATTTCACCTAAGGGAAGAAAAAAGGATATTGTTTTAGAAAAAATAAAAAGGGGAGTAAATGAAATTGTCCAGTCCCCCCGATGGCAGAACTAGCGCCGCAGAGGAGAACTCGTGAGGAGAGACCTCGCGGTCCTGGTGGGGATTCCACCCAGGCTCCTCCCTCCGCCCTTGGCTCTCCGTAACATCCGTGCGGTGGGGATTACTCTTATCTTTCACACAAGCATCTGGGATCTCCCTCATTCCTGCCAAACTCTTGTTTTTACTCACATAGCCTCCACTTCCCATTTTAGCTAGCAGTGCACTTAATCATGCATTTGTTAAGAAACTCATGCACCACGGAGGGGTCTGTGAGCAACCAGGTCGTGATGATCACAGAGGCCCAGAGTAGACTGTGACACCGTGGAAGCATCCGGAAAATAGGAGCAGCATCCGGCACTAGGGACATAAGCAATGCACTCAGTTCTGATCCTTCAGAGTTCAAGATATTTGAATGCAGCTTGTTTGCTTTTTTTAAAAAAAGAAAAAAACACTGGATCTATCCCTTCTCTTCACCAGCTTGGTAGAACTAACGAACCAAATCAATTCTCAGTAGCAAGAAAAAAAATTATTAAACAGTTAAGAGAGGAAGCTTGACAGATTCAATATCCATAGTAATAAACAAGCTCAAGGGGAGAGAAGTCAGAAGATCTATTATATGAAAATAACAAAGAAGAATAATTGTATGTAAAGTATATTGATCTGTAACTAAAAAGAGAGAGAAAAGGAACATTTCTATAGGCAATAGATGAATCTAGCAGAATGCAGGAGAACCTGTTTGCAGATATTAACCTCTGGAGAAAGGTTGTAGAAACCTAAAGTCAGGAGTAGTAGGACCCCTTATGTCTTCCTGATCAACTTTTGAGGTTTCTTGGTAGTCATTGTGGTTGGTTGGTTGGTTGGTTGGTTAGCTGGTTGGTTGGTTAGCTGGTTGGTTGGTTGGTTGGGTGGTTAGCTGGTTGGTTGGTTGGTTGGTTGGTTAGCTGGTTGGTTGGTTAGTTGGTTGGCTGGTTGGTTGGTTGGCTGGTTGGTTAGCTGGTTGGTGGGTTGGTTGGTTGGTTAGCTGGTTGGTTGGTTAGTTGGTTGGCTGGTTGATTAGCTGGTTGGTTGGTTGGTTGGTTAGCTGGTTGGTTGGTTAGTTGGTTGGCTGGTTGGTTAGCTGGTTGGTTGGTTGGTTTGTTAGCTGGTTGGTTGGTTGGTTGGTTGGTTAGTTGGGTGATTGTTGTCTGTTTTGGGATTTTAAAAATCATATGGCATAAAAAATCCTCAAATTCTCAGACCTCACAGCTTTTGTGGTTTGCTTATTTTGACTGAAATTCTGTATTCCCTACTAAAAACAATAAATTTTAAAAGGTATAGAAAAACATTTTAAAAATGCTGTGCCTGCCAGGAAGGACCTTGTCCCCACGTGCTGTCTGGGGGACATCCCGACCGAGGGTGCGGGGGGGGGGCAGAGCTGGGCTCATGCCCTGCAGTGGAATCCCGCTTCCTACGCGGCTGGCAGATGGCAGCCAAATGTGCTCCCCACGCTCAGCCGGAGCCCCAACTTCCCTTCTAACGCAAACCGAAGCCAACAGGCTGAGTGGGAAGGAGAGCCCTGTGGAGCCCTGCCAGCGCTTGGGGTGATAAACAGTCCCAGCTCCTTGCCGTCAGGTGTGTGGACAAGTGTGGGCAGGAGCAGACATGAGAGCCTCTGCTCCCCGCCCTGCGGAGTTGCATTAATGAGGTGTCCTTTGTGGTGAAGACAGTGCTCTGTAAGAAAGCCTCTCGGCCAGCCGCGTGCGTGCCAGTGGCTCCCACCTGGCTTCTCAGGAGGCTGAGACAGATACAAGGATAGTGGTTCAAAGACCCCCTGGGCAGACTCTTATCTCCTACTAAACAGTCAAAACCTACAAGTGCAGCTGTGGCTCCAAGTGGTACAGTGCTAGCCTTGAGCAAAAGAGCTCAGGAGCAATTGCCTGGGCTCTGAGTTCAAGCCTCATGACCAGGAAGGGAGGGAGGGAGGGAGGGAGGGAGGAAGCAACTTTTCAGAAGGCGTATTACCCATCACCACCACAACCATAATTCTTAGGTAAGGAAATGCCCCCTTTCCCCAGAGCTGGTTAGTGGCCCCATGAAGTGCCATCTGTTGGCGTCAGCGGTGGTCTGATGAACGGTCCCAGGGCTCAGCACATGCCCGGTGCTGACAGCAGCCACTACTTGGTCATCTTAGGCGATCATCAAAACCTCCCTGGATGTCAATTTATCATCTTAAAAAAAGTCCTTAGCAGAACATGGGCATCGCTTGCAGCACTGACTGCCCATGATGCAACTTTAAACGCCGTAACTCTACACCAATGTAGTAAAAGAGAAAAACCATAAAACTTCCTCATTCTCAAATTTACAGCCCTTGTGAGTCAACTCTTTTGACTGCATCTGCAAGTTTCTGCAAGGTTCCGAAAAGTAAGAGAAATTCTCCAACTTTATGGAGTGTCATGATGTGTGTAGTAGTGAGCAGGTGTTCAAGTGGTGCCCTGCCTTGAGAGATCTCCCAGAACGCCAGACGCTGGCATCCTCTTCCCTCCCACTCGCAGAAGTCCCTGTGAAGAAAAAGATATCCCTTCCTCTCTGAAACCATCCCTCCCTGATGCTCCATGCTGACTGCCCCAAACTCAGAGCAAGACCTCCTTGGCCCACCTCCAGCTTCCTGTCAAACTTATTGCCGCCTTACGAGCAATCAACTGTTGGCTCCAATCTCTCTGCTCTTCTGGTAGGACAACAAAGAAAGCTTAGACTGTGGAATCAAAATGTGTTCAAGTTGTGACTTCTCTAGTTTGGTGAATTAGGAAAATGTGTGTGTGAGTGTACGACTACTTGGCATTCGCTGATGAGTTCTAATGCTGCTACTGGAATGCATAGATAGGATAACTGAACGCACCAAGCATTCTGCCAGGCACTTGCTGAACACTTGAAAAGGGCTTGTTTTCTTTGATCTCTCTCCCAAGAACGGTCTCCATCTGACTCTGATCATCCAGATTTTATACTTCTAAGCCTAAAATGAGCCTTTGATGCTTGGCATTTGCATTCCCCTACCAAACATTTATACCCTGCCCACATGGATGTTTTCAGAAGCTTTGATCATAATTGCCAAAATCTGTAGTACCAAAAACTGTGATACAGACATAAAGTAGAACATTCTTTTCAGTACTAAAATGAAATGAGTTGGCAACCATTAAAAGCTACAGAGGAGTCTTACATTCCTGTTGCTATGTGAAAGAAGGTAATCTGGTATGCGAACGGTCGGCACGTGGCTGGAATATTGCAAGCTGATTGATTCTGGCCATTACTCTTGGATGCATGCCCAAGACAAGAATCCTGTCATGTTTACAACTGGTCCTGTAGGCTACCATATAAACTTGGTATTTGACAACAGGATTGGTGAACACATAAAAGAGAAAAATGTCATCAGATCAATCCCTTGCTTTCCTGTACCAGGGAAACACCACCACAGAGCCTGAGGCTGATAGAAAACACGGTTGAAGCCACACAGACATACTGCTTTCAATATCAAGGAAAAGAAAAATCCCCACAGCTTCCCCAGACGGTAAGAGAAAACAGTGAATATCAAGGGTGAGGCAGGCGTCCACAGAAGCACAGGCTGCCGGACAGAGCTGCTTTAATCTGCAATGAAGCACCTTAACGCTGAATTTAGATCCCTATACCAACCAGAATTGAAGTCCAGCCTTCAAACGTAAGAGCCAAAGTACAAAGGCCGTCATATTCTAGTTGAAGGTTTTATTTTACAAATGAGGGAATCAACATCTTCACAGAAGTGGAGAGGGTAGACTTCACTTGGACGAACTGTACAATTAATCGTAGGAAAACATTTATTGTACCCCACAACCAATTTTTCCTCCTCGTGCAAATAGAAAGTGAGGAGAAGCCTCTGTGGACATTATTGTACTAATGCCTCCTTCCTGTGTCCGCGTGTCCACTTGGTACCAGTGCTGGAGAAGAGACGCTGTTGTCAGACTGGTAATGAGCTCATCATGAGAGCACCCAGGAGACACTCAGAAGCCAAGCTTCAGTCTTGCCATCAATGAAACCAAAAGGGGGGAAACTTTAAAAAAACAACGAAACAACCAGGTGCCCACTTGGCAAATCCGTGGGCCACTTGGCTTTCTGACTGGACACTGCATGGACCACTGACTAGGAGCAGGCAGCGGCGTAGGAGGCTTCCGGCCTGGGCTGGCTAGAGCCAACGGGCCTTGCAATCACACAGACGTTTTCATACCAGCTGGGCCCCCAGCTCACACCTGCGATCCTAGCTTCTCAGGAGGCTGAGATAGAAGGATTGTGATTCAAAGCCATGGCCAGGGAAGGCCACGAGACACTTATCTCCAGTGAAGCTCCAAAAAGCAGAAGAGGAGCTGGGGCTCAAGTGGTAGAGCGCTAGCATTGAGCAAAAAAAGATCAGGGAGGGCTGGGAAGGTGGCCCAGTGGTAGAGCACTTGCCTTGCATGCCTGAGGCCCTGGGTTTGATTCCTCAGCACCACATAAGCAAAAAGAAAAAAGCCGGAAGTGGTGCTGTGGCTCAAGTGGTAGAGCACTAGCCTTGAGCTGAAGAGCTGAGGGACAGCGCCCAGGCCCAGAGTTCAGGCCCCACGACCAGACCAAAAAAAAAAAAAAAACTCAGGGACAGCCCCCAGGACAGGCACACACACAAATAAATTTTCAATACAAATGGACAGTTTACGGCAAAGGTCTTGATCTGAAAGATCAGGTTGACATTTCTACCAGCATCCCAGGTTCACATTTTTTGTGGGGGGGAGTCGGTCATGGGGCTTGAACTCTGGGCCTGGGCGCTGTCCCTCAGCTCTTCAGCTCCAGGCGAGCGCTCTACCACTAGAGCCACAGCGCCACTTCCGGTTTTCTGGTGGTTTATTGGAGATAAGAGTCTCACAGACTTTCCTGCCCAGGCTGGCTTTGAACCACAAGTTCAA